TTTTAGGAGACTTTGTTCCTCCAACTAGATTTGGAGCAACAAATGTCCAAGAAGAACTTCAATGTTTAAGAGGGGAAAAGGCTTTGACTACGCAATACGAATTCTTGTTCAATAGAAATTATGCCATCTCATTGTATTACCACAATGTTGAGTCTCTTCGTGCTCATCACGAAGATATTGCCAACGACAAAATTATTTGTTCCGCAAACTTTTTATGTTTTGTTGAAACCTGGACTCTTCCACATGAAGAGTATAATATAAGAGATTTTGACATTATAAGGAGAATAGATAGCAATCGTTTGAATGGTATTGGGAAGAACGGAATACTCATCTATGCTAAGCAGAGTATTTCGCAAAATGTTGTATTTTTGTTCGAAACAACTAAATCAATAAGCCCGATGAGCACCTATCAATCAATTGCATTTAAATTTCTTGACACGTCATTTTTAATTGTATATAGGAGTCCTAGATTTCCTATTACAAGATTTCGAAATGAAATTAAAGCTGACGTCGAAAAAGTACGCAGAATAGATAATAATAAAGTGGTAATATTAGGAGATTTTAATATTTGCAGATACTTAAGAACTGATTCTCTGGAGGCAATTTTAAATGCGTATAACCTTTTTGGAACAAACAGCTCTCCAACAACAAAACACCTTACGCAGATTGATTGGATATTTACTGATGCTCGAATTCCGGAAACCCTCGCCCTCATATATGAAACACCATATAGTCATCATGATGGAATTTTCCTCAGTTATAGCTTGTAAAGAAATATAACTATTATATAATAAGCGCTCAATTGTAAATAAATAAAATAAATAGATATAATATAAATTGTAAAAAGATAATTGTATATATATTCTAATTGTATTTATCTTTATTATTTAAGCAAATATAGTTTCCCCCTCGTGGATTGAGACCTTGTCGTGGTGTGGGGGCTGAGTACGTGAATTTCGAAATAAATATCACTGAAACTAGCAACAATCCGATAAAATTAAATAGGTTCATTTACTATATATTAACATGATAAAACAAGAGAGAACGCTATAGTCGGGTGCCCCGACCATCAGATACCCGTTACTCAGGTAAAGGGGGTGCGAGGGAGATGGAGATAGAATCTTTGATCACGCATAACTTTTTAACGAATGGTCCGATTTGAAAAATTTCTTCTACATTTCGATAGGTATTGATAAACACAATAAAACTGCATTTTTACTTTTCCGAAATATTTAAATTTTTAAAATATAAGCGATTGTGGGCGTCAGAGGGGGCGTGGCACCATTTTGAAACAAACTTGCGCTGCGTAGGAACTGCTCAAATCTACATGCAAAATGCCAATCTTGTAGCTTTTATAGTTTCCGAGATCTCAGCGTTCATACGGACAGACAGACAGACAGACGGACAGACAGACGGACAGACGGACAGACGGACAGACGGACAGACGGACAGACGGACATGGCTATATCGACTCGGCTAGTGACCCTGATCAAGAATATATATACTTTATAGGGTCGGAAACGCTTCCTTCTAGCTGTTACATACTTTTGCACGAATACAATATACCCTTTTACTCTACGAGTAACGGGTATAAATATAAGGCCAATTTACGCGATTTGATGGCTGTCATTTTCTTTCTGACCAAATAAATACACTGAATAATTATTATAACTGCAAGGGTATATAAACTTCGGCATGCCGAAGTTTGCTTCCTTTCTTGTTGATTTCGAAATTATAATTTTCATTCAAAATTTAGGTGATGAATTTAGTAGAGAATTTATAATTTCTTAAGGTTTCATATCCTTCTATCAAAAATTTGTGTCTATAACATATTCTGTAGTCGTCATATGTAAGCCTAAATGAACTATAAATTGAGCTAATTCATTTAAAACAAGAAAGGAAAGCTAACTTCGGGCGGAGCCGAAGTTGAAATACCCTTGCAGAATATTCTGCAAGATATATTCTCCAAAATTATTCATATGATGCATTCTTAATACTCATAAAAAATCCCACCTTCCTAACTTTAAAAACACCAAAGTTATGGCATTTCCAATCGTTCAGTTATATGGCAGCTACAGGATATAGTTGGCCGATCCATATGAAATTTGGTAGGTCGGATTAATTTGCCAAAAATAAAACCCATAGGAAATCCCAACTTTCTAACTTTACAAACACCCAAGTTATGGCATTTCCGATCAATCAGTTATATGGCGGCTATAGGATATAGTCGGCCGATCCTTATGAAATTTGATATGTCGGATTGATTGGGCAAAAATAAAACCCACAGAAAATCACAACTTTCTAACTTGACAAACACCAAAGTTATGGCATTTCCGATCAATCAGTTATATGGCAGCTATAAGATATAGTCGGCCGATCCTTATGAAATTTGGTAGGTCGGATTGATTGGCCAAATATAACACCCATATAAAATCCCAACTTCCTAACCTTACAAACACCAAAGTTATGGCATTTCCGATCAATCAGTTATATGGCAGCTATAGGATATAGTCGGCCGATCCCGGCCGTTCCGACTTATATACTGCGTGCAAAGGAAAGAAGGGTGTGTGCAAAGTTTGAATTCGATATCTTTAAAACTGAGAGACTAGTTCGCGTAGAAACAGACAGACGGACAGACAGACGGACAGACAGACGGACAGACAGACGGACAGACGGACAGACGGACAGACGGACAGACGGACAGACGGACATGGCTATATCAACTCAGGAGGTGATCCTGATCAAGAATATATATACTTTATAGGGTCGGAGATGTCTCCTTCACTGCGTTGCACACTTTTGACCAAAATTATAATACCCTCTGCAAGGGTATAACAAGAAAGGAAAGCTAACTTCGGGCGGAGCCGAAGTTGATATACCCTTGCAGAATACTCTGTAAATTATATTTTCCAAAATTATTCATATGATGCATTCTTAATACTCATAAAAAATCCCAACTTCGTAACTTTAAAAACACCAAAGTTATGGCATTTCCGATCAATCAGTTATATGGCAGCTATAGGATATAGTCGGCCGATCTTTATAAAATTTGGTACGTCAAATTGAATGGCCAAATACAAAACACATAGAAAATCCCAACTTCCTAACTTTACAAACACCAAAGTTGTGGCATTTCCGATCGTTCAGTTATATGGCAGCTATACTATATAGTCGGCCGATCCTTATAAAATTTGGTACGTCAAATTGATTGGCCAAATGTAAAACCCATAGAAAATCCCAACTTCCTAACTTTAAAAACACCAAAGTTATGGCATTTCCGATCGTTCAGTTATATGGCAGCTATAGGATATAGTCGGCCGATCCCGGCCGTTCCGACTTATATACTGCGTGCAAAGGAAAGAAGGGTGTGTGCAAAGTTTCAATTCGATAGCTTTAAAACTGAGAGACTAGTTTGCGTAGAAACAGACAGACGGACAGACGGACAGACGGACAGACGGACAGACGGACATGGCTATATCAACTCAGGAGGTGATCCTGATCAAGAATATATATACTTTATAGGGTCGGAGATGTCTCCTTCACTGCGTTGCACACTTTTGACCAAAATTATAATACCCTCTGCAAGGGTATAATTAAAAGCTATCTTTTATTGCAAATATATCAGTAAACCGTTGATTTTCTCTGCTTAAATTCTACTTTTGCCTTATCATGAAAGCGAAATTTAAGTATACATCATACAAATTAATAGAAGCTAAACTAGTCAGCAAGTGCTCATCTCTATGGCTTCCTCTGGCAGAGCAGCTAGCCACCGGAGCATATGCATACGGACATGTATGTGCTCCTGTAGCTTTTACCGCTTTTCCCGCTCCGGACAATGGAAAGCTGCGCTGCAAGGAAAATCGAGGAGTGGGCGGTGGCGACCAGAGCAAGTGCAAAGAAAATGCAGCGGAAATGACAAAGCATGAAATACGGCTGCGACAAATGCAATAAAGTATTTAATAGACTGCTCCTAGCCGACCAAGAGCAACCAACCAACCAACCAGCCAGCACAACTGGCGAACCCAACCAAGCCAAGCAACTACCAACTACCAACTTTCGCCTGTCACTGACACCCAAAATGAATAAAACCAACAGGAAAAAAATGTAGAAATAACATAAAAAACAAGCGGGGAAACTCCCGGAAATGGGCCATATACATATACCGTATCCATATGAGAGGGGCGTGGCAGGATCAGGGGCTGGAGCTGGAGCTGGAGCTGCGCTGGTGGTCATTATTCACGTACCATGTTAAATAAATTTAAATGCCTGTTTTGTAAATATGTATTGCATGCTCAGCGGCATAACAGATGGGCAAAAGGGAAAACTTATTCCCCCAAAGGGAATCCAGTGCGCTTTGCATGTGTGCAGTGCCACATTGTTAATTTAACACTTTCGCAGAAAAAAGGCTTAACAGTTTTAAGCCGGGCTTAAGAAGATCATGAAATTTATTCAATGGCGATCAAGTTTGTAAACGACAACAAATAATTAAAATCAATAAAAATGGGCGATTCATTATTGTTAAAGTTACAATCCAATTATGGAAATAAAATGTATTGTAATTGAGTTGGGATGAAATGAAAGTTTGTTCTTTAATGATAGTCTATTGTTGTACAAATAAGTTATAAATAAATGTCTTGTTTCATGATATCAGTTAATTCTGTACATTAAAAAACAAGAAAGAAGGGTAGCTTCGGCAAAACGAAGTTTTTATAAGAAAAGTTTGTTAGTCAATACACTAACTCTTCAAGGTCCCATTTAAAAAATTGAATAATACTTAAAACCAATATTTATTCTTCTCTATCAAATAACGATAGTCTTCATAGCGTTGCAAACTTTTGACTAAAATATATTTAACTAACTAATTATGTGTAGTAAATAATACTTTAATAATAATAATGATAAAGTAGAAATTTAAAACGAGATTTAGTTATAAACCCTTTGCTATTTTAGTTAATTTAAAATATGTTATGATTAATTTCCCGTTTTTAATTATTTTTCAGTCCGAGATCACTGTCATCGGGCCCGCAGCGAGGGCGTGGACGTGAAGGCTCGCCGGAAACTGATCATAGCTAGCATCCTCTGTTTGGTCTTCATGATTGCCGAAATCGTGGGTGAGTTGAGTTGATATATGTACTAGGGAAACTTCCGACATTTGGGCCCTCGTTTGCCGTCTGCTCCCAATTCATCCTTTACAAAGGACTCTTTCTCCATCAATTCCTTTTGCAATTTCTCTTCTGTCTGCCTCTCAATTCCCAAACTAATTTTGCTCACCTCTGAGAATCTGAGCCAACAAATAAACAAAACGTAAAGACTGAAAAGCGAAAAAAAGTTAAGTCAAACAATGCGGGCAACGAGGAAGGAATAAGGGAAAAAGGACACGAAGGAGACGACGTCGACGACGACGAGAAGACGATTAAAAACTGAGGACCGGAAGTGCAACAATATGGCGACCGGAAGGGCTTACTGTCTGCCCTGTCAACCCTCCCCCATTTATGACGACACTGGGGTTGGTTATACAATAAACATTTAATTTTCGAGTGGTGACGATGTCGTCGTCGGTGCTTCGACGGCTGTTGCCGTTAATCGCTTTGCAATTACCTACAATGTTCGCCCGGAAAAGGACCAAGGACGAAAAGGAGGTGGTGCCCAGTTGGGGCGAAAGGATTTCTCCCCTTTTTTTGCGCCACCCGCTTTGCACTTTTCTTTCGCTTTCAAATCGAAATCGTTGTTGCGATAATGGAAAATAGAGAGAAAGAGATCCAGCTGCCCGCCCTTTTAATGTTTTCCGACTTAAGCCGGTGGGGGATTGTCACCCGGTCTCCTCCGTTCCTCCATTCAGCCCCCAATCAACGTCCACAAGTTCCACAGATTGCCGAGTTAATTTTTTGCGCATTTATTTACTTTCACCCCGGAACCTGGAACAGGTGGCGTCCTATCGAACAGTCTGGCCATCGCAACAGACGCCGCACATTTGCTCACCGATTTCGCCAGTTTTATGATCTCGTTGTTTGCCATCTGGATTGCCGGACGCCCATCTACGCAGCGGTAAGTACTACCCGCCAAATGAAGACACTGCCAAAAGTCGTTTGCCGGTAAGGGAAATCAATAAAACGTAAAGTTTCAATCTTTTTCGCATTTCCTTTTGTTCCTGGCTGATGCCAAAAACTCCTTAGGAGACGGTTCGTGTGCGTCCTCCTTTATCACCGAAACGGGTGACTTGAGAGCCCGCTTAGGGAAATAACATAAAACTATTCCCTGAATATACTAACTCCAGCTGGGGTATAGCCATTTAAAGAAGACTCAGGAAACTAAAAAGCCTTAATTTCAAACGACAGTAAGCTATTGCTTTTCTGAAAAGTCCTAAATGAATATAAATTTTATCTTTATTTCAATGTTTTATTATGTATATAAATATACCTTACAATAGTCACTGTTATACTAGGAAATATCAGGAGGAATGCCAACCAATATTAAAAATTGTATACTTATATATAAAATATTTTGTATGAAATAGCAATTTTAGTTAGTGATAATATCTTTTTAGGACTTATTTCTATGAGTTCTTATAGAAAATAAGCTCTTAGAGAAAATGTCGCCCTCTAACGAGTATATCTGCATTGCCCTGCAATTTATATTCCACTCTTATATGGCTGCGCTGCCTCCATAATTTCTGTCGCTCGACTTGGCCATCCTCCATATCCTTCGCTGCTGCCTGCATTTCCCATTCGCCATCGTCTAATTAGGCGAAAAGCCTGTTCCCAAATTTTCAGTGCCTTCCTCCAGCGTCTGTGGATGGTTTTGTTGCTATTGCTGAAAGAGATGGCGATTTGACCCTTTTTAAGTTAGTAGTCTTCTACTCGCCTAAGGGAATTTTGGATTTGCAAGATTTGTTTTTTATTATTTATTTTATAATAGTGGGAATATACTTTCAAATATAAATTAAAAACCTTAAAGTTATAAAATTGACAATCGTCATATTTTATACTTGCATATGGCTTCACTTTTTAAAGTCTCTGGGAGATTTCATTACGGTCTCAAATTCTGTAAAATTTTAAAAATCCCTAACTCTTCTTTATTTTAACCTTCTCTAATTTAAGTAATTTGAGATAAAAATCATTGCAGAAATGAGGAAGTAATAAAAATGCTTAAAACAAGTCAATTACAATATTTATTAATATTTTGAATATTTATTTATTTACGGTTTCGATGAAAATATATAAATCTGATGGTAAACAAAGCTTTAGCTGAAAAACTTAGAAAAAGATTAAGATATTTTTTTAAATTTCATAAAACTATATCCATTTGAATTTGTTAGATCTTTCTGGTTAAAAAAAATAAGATTTTTGGCACCACTGTTGGCTGCTGTTGCTGCTGCGCACTATACATTCGGCCGTTGCACATTTTTCAATTGGTCTTTGGGAGGTCCCCTCCCTGCCCCCGCTCCTGTATCTGCCACGCCCCACATTCCAGCCCCCTCTTTCCGCCACAGCATCCATCTTGGGCTCAACTAGAAGAAGGAGAGGGAAAGCGGCACGTTCTGCTCATTCATGCAAAAATCTCACTCACTCGACGACTCGACTGCAGCCACAAAGTGAATAATGAAAAACTTTTGCAATTTCAAGCGTGTTGCATGGTAATTTTGTAAATTCGCTCTTGCCACCAGACTCTCAGACTGGGTCTCCTTCGTCTCCTGTGCGTTGATGTTGCTTCTGTTTCTGCCTCTGTTTCTGTTCCAGTTGCTCTTGTGCTGCATGTGGCTGCTATTGCTGCTGCTGCTGTTGCTGCTGTTGCTGCTGTTGCTGCTGCTGCTGCATGTTGCAGCAGTCCCAGTCTCAGTCTGGCTGAATGCCACTCTCCTTGGGCCTGGTCCTCTGGCCGGGTTTGGTTTCAGTGCGGTTCGCAGCCTTCTACCTTATTTTTGGCTCCTGCGCCCGCACCTACCATTTTGCCGTTGCCGAGTTGACAAGCCTAATTTATCAAAACAAAACACATTTGCACAATTGCAAAGGCAAACGCAGAAAACGAAGAGCAGAGCGAGGAAAAAGCTAGGGACGGTACAGTGGATTGATTCAATTATAACCGTAATTTTCGTCCTAATGAATGATGGAAATATATGTTTTTTGGAGTGCATTTGCTTACTAGAATTTTTATTTAACGAAATTTGAATTATAGAACTAATCTTCAAACAGTTTTATTTATTAAGATAAAAACTATAGAAATATATATTTTTTCGAAATGTTTTAAGGCAAACATAGATTATATTACGAAACGATTATATTATTCTGAAAAATAATTTTCAATATCGTTTATGTTAAAATGGTTATGAAATTAATTTATTTTCTCATTAATGTACGATGCAAACAATTTTTGCAGAGGAATTCAAAAGGGCTGATTTGAAGAAGTATATTGTATAGTCATTCTTAAATTCAAGAGTTTTCTGATTGAAAGAAAGTGAAATAATGAAGATTTTATTAAACTATTCAATAACCTTAAGAATATTTGTGTGTGTTACCAATAGCATTGTTTTTACTTCGTAGTGCCCTTTAATTCATTTTGTTCCGTGCCAAAATGTTTGCTTGGCGGGACACACTACCATATTTCATTATCGCTAATCCCAATTAAGTGTTTTGGCTACTTTCTTTTAATTATCGCACCCGATCCCAGTGTGCCCGGAACCGCCATTGAGGTAGCGATGTTGCTGCTCCTCCGCTGGGAATAGAAAGGGCCGAAGGACGAGGGGGTGGGCCGCCAGCAGCAGGCGGTCATTAAGCAAATGGCTGCACTTGCAACGCCAACTGCAAGCCCTAACTTGCGTATATATTTGTATATACACATATAGAAAGCTCCGCCATACATTGGCATTGCTGGGTGGGGGGTTTTGAAGGTTTTTTAGGGGCGGGCGGTGGAGTGGGGATACGACGGATGTTTGCTGGAAATTAAATTGTATTATTATGGCGAGACATTCGTTGCTGTTGCTGCCTGCTGCCTTCTGGCATCGCATTAGTTAGCAGGCTGGCAAAATTGTTGCCTTTTGCCATTATTTCAATTTTATAACGAGAGTGGTAGTCACCCTCCTCCACTTCGTTCCCCACCTGTCGGTTACCGGTTGGTCCTTGGTTTTGGTCCTGTTCCTGGTCCTCGTTCTGATGTGGCTTGGTTTGTTTTCTGGTCTGGGTTGGGCTTTAATTGAACAACCCTCGACTTGGTCGCCGTCGCCGTTCAGGTGTTGACTTTGACCCAACCAAAAAAAATACAAACAAGAAAGAAAAGCTAACTTCGGCCGAAGCCGAAGTTGATATACCCTTGCAGAATATTCTGTAAATTATATTCTTCAAAATCATTCATATGATGTATGTGTCCCAACTTCCTAACTTTAAAAACACCAAAGTTATGGCATTTCCAATCGTTCAGTAATATGGCAGCTATAGGATATAGTCGGCCGATCATTATGAAATTTGGTAGGTCGGATTGATTGGCCAAAAATAAAACCCATAGAAAATCCCAACTTCCTAACTTTACAAACACCCAAGTTATGGCATTTCCGATCAATCAGTTTTATGGCGGCTATAGGATATAGTCGTCCGATCCTTATGAAATTCGGTAGGTCGGATTAATTGGCCAAAAATAAAACTTATAGAAAATCCCAACTTCCTAACTTTAAAAACACCAACGTTATGGCTTTTCCGATCGTTCAGTTATATGGCAGCTATATGATATAGTCGCCCGATCCGGCTCGTTCCGACTTATATACTACCTGCAATAGAAAGACAACTTTTGGGAAAGTTTCAAGCAGATAGCTTTAAAACTGAGGGACTAGTTTGCGTAGAAACGGACGGACGGACGGACAGACGGACAGACGGACAGACGGACAGACGGACAGACGGACAGACGGACATGGCTATATCAACTCAGGAGGTGATCCTGATCAAGAATATATATACTTTATAGGGTCGAAAATGTCTCCTTCACTGCGTTGCAAACTTTTGACTGAAATTATAATACCATCTGCAATGGTATAAAAATAATAATACACGAAAAATGAGAAGGGGGGCAGCACATGCAAAACGCTCATTACATTAGGGAAATTCGGGAACACTCCCCACTTCCTTGCCAAAAGTTATCATCTGAGGGAAAAGCCCTGCCGCGCCCCCAAACAAACTCAAATTAAAATAGCATTTGACAAATTTTGGTCACATTTATCAAGTCATGTTAATTTTTAACTACCCCACATTTCCCGCACTTCATGTCATCAGAAATTTGTGTTTCGTTTTGTGGCTGAGAAGTTCAGCTTTTGACATCCGATTTGCTTTAATGCTTTTAAAGAGGATATCATTTTATTGAAGGCGACACATTTCGGTAATTGGAAAGCGTTTCACTTGTGACGAATGAATGTTGGGCTTATTGATTAAACATAAACAGCTTGTCAAATTTATTTAAAATATAAAATACATATAAATTATAACTTTAAAGGAATGTATTAACATAAAGCTATTTTAGCTGGGTCGTGTTTAAAAGACTTTTAGTAAAGACTTAGTAGATGCACAACTTGTGGAAGAGTGAAAATTGTAATACCACGTGGAAACAATAAATAATTTAAGAATTTTTGGAGCACGGGAAATTTAACTACCAGAAAGTATATAAAATTTAAAGAATTTCATATTTAAATCAAGCAAAATTTAAAACAAATAAAATGTTTAAAAACCAAATAATTACTTGAAAATTTAAAGCGGACTAGTTTTATGCACAACTAACAAACTATTAGTTCGAAAAGTTATTTTCTCGCCAAACTAACAAAGTTTTGCCAACGCTATCGTGTGGCAAGTAGAAATTATTCTCCTTCCCATCGCAAACTCATTATCTTCACCTGCCTTCACATTAATTAAGCTGACTCCCTTTTATCTTTGACAGGATGTCCTTCGGCTGGTATCGGGCTGAGGTTATTGGCGCCATGGCCTCCGTCTTCATGATCTGGGTCATCACAGGGATTCTCGTCTGGCTGGCCATCGGACGTCTAATTAGCGGCGACTATGAAGTGAATGCGAAGATCATGCTGATCACCTCGGGCCTGGCTATCTTGGTAAATGTCATGTAAGTAAAGTATATAGTATTTCCCCCTGATATGCAGATCTTTGATTGCTGGACGTCTGGGGAAATGGCACTCTGTCTGCCCGCCCGTGCGACTGCAAAGTTTTCCCGTTTTCCCCTGGGCAGTTTTCCAATTGCAATTGCCGCAATCAACTTGTCCTGGGCTTGGGCCACCAAATGGGTCAACACAGTGCACTGCAAATGTCTCCCGATCCCAATCCCAATCCCAATCCCAGGACCACTCCGATTCCTGGATGGCATTCCCCTACGTATCCGCCAGTTGTTGCGGCAACTTTCTCCACAATTTAGCGACAACTTTTTCCACAAGTTTAGAAATTCTTCTTGTTGGATTTTTTTCCTTTCTATATATATTTTTTTTTCGTCAACAAAAGCCAAAAGCGGCGGCGTCGAGGAGTTTGCTTGTGTTTGCGTTGGCCAGCAGCAAAGGTGGAAAATTCTCTAGGCGGGATGGGGTAACGTGCCATCGAGGAGGGTTTCGATAATGCCCCAAACGGCAGTTCCCCCAGCCATTGGATTTCATTTCATTTCGGGTAGCTAAAAATAAATCGAGGCCAGCAAAGTTTAACGCTTTATTTAATTTAATTGTAATTTCTCAATTGACTCTTTTGACGAATTCAAGGAAAGGACAGTGGGGCTAATCAAAAATGTATAACTCAATTTGCTATTATTCGAAAGATTTTTAGAAATCTTTAGAAGAGAACTTGACTAAATTTGTACGATCTTTAAAAACACTTTATTTTAAAATTCCATCAGTTGTTTAAATGATATAATTTTTTAGCATGTTGGTCGCTGCGCTTTTTAACTGGAGGTAAAATTTGGCATGCAAAACGTTTTGACAGCCTTTAATTTTTTATAAAAGATAATTTATTTCTCGTGTTTATGATAAACTAATAGTAGGTTTAAAACTACAAATTACTTACTTTTAGTTTACTGTTGAAACGAGAAAACGTGGTTAGTATTTTTTTAAGGTCGACAACAATTGTTTGTGAAAGAGTATTCTCTGTTCGTTTAATCATTTACTAATCGCTTCGCTTGTTTTGATTTCGTCGAGTGCAGAACTTGCAAGCATCTGCCTCACCCTCGCCCCTTGTCCTGCCACGCCCCCTCCGCCGCCTCCATTCCCCCATTGATGCTCATTCATGTGGCTGTCGAAGCATAGTTTTTGGCGCATAAATCGCAACGTTCAATGCCGAGCTCACACACACGTTATGTTTCCCTCCCCGACCTCCCCTCCCCCACTCACCACCTACCGGCCAAATCCCCCTCCCCATGGCACGCCCATCTCAGCTCACCTATTTTCCTGCACGAGTGTTGTGCAGCTGTTGTTGTTGGTACTTGGGCGGTTGCGCAAAAATTTTCCAGTTGACGTTGGCATTTTCAGTGTTTGCCACTTGAATTGTTTGATTACGTGAATTGATTGTGAAAAACGTGCAGCAGTAGCAACTCTCCTGGCTTACAGATTTGGCCAAGAAGAAGATGACCGGACTTGGTGGAGATGGGCGCAGTCCGGGGGGCGTGGCTGTGGCCATCTTTGGAAGCTGCCATAAAAGTAGGAAGTTAAGTCAAGTCAATACGGCTGCTTCCTCCTGTTCTTCTACATAGAAAACAAAAATTTGATATAAGATACTCTTTAGACTTCAAATGTATCGTTTATTTCTGCCACAGAAGTTTCTACTGATTTTTGCAATTAAACTTATAATTAGTTTCTAAAATTATAGATCAACAAGTTTCTACCGATTTTTGCAATGAAATATGTGATTATTTTTAAAAATTATAGATCAAAAAAATCTAATTGAATTATATCAAAAATTCATTGCGTTGCGCAATATTCTTAAGATTGTTGTTAAAATTACGTATACGACACCATGGCGACAGGGCGTATGGGTAATAAACGTTAAATACAATTTTTCCAAAAATAAAACAAAACGAATAGTTAGCGGTTGAGAGTATGGCCATTAAATTTTGATAAAAATTTTGACCGACTTATCCATTTATAGGTTATCAACTTCCCAAAAATTCAGTTACAAAAATTTGTATAAAACTTTTTAAATATGTTTGAATACTGAACGATTTTTTTAGGAATTCCGTTTCTTGTTATATTAAATAAAAACGTTTTTAAAATAACAGCATTTAATTTCAGTGTTCCTTCGACCTGTGTTCGAACAACGGAATTAAATGGCCACCTTTTACCGTTATGCGTTCGACCAAACGAGTTTGCAGCAAGTTTCAACTATTTTCAGTCCGGCTTGCTCTCGTTGTTATTGAAGGCTTTTTACTTAGTTTCATTTAGTTGTTGAGCGCTCTCTGGATTTTATTTTTTGCGAGTTTTTAGTTCAATTAGCACAATGCCGAAAATAGCTCGCAACCGCTTTACCCACACACACACGCACACGCACAGGATTCCCCGGATTCGCTTTGTGTTTTGTTTTTGGGTTAACTTTTGAGTGGCGCCAACGACGTCCGTCGACTTCACATCGTTAAAACGCCCATTAGGGCAAAAGCGGGGAAAATGGAGGAACAGAACGAGAAATAGAAGAAGAAACAGTGAACTAACCCAAGTACCGTAATATTGCGTAGGATGAACCTCGGCTTCGATATTCATTTCATTTCACTTTTTGCTCAAACTAATTATTCCGAACACAAATTGCCACATACTATTGATTTTATGTTATTATTATTATTTTATTTATTTTCTCAAGATATTTGTTCATATAAGGTCGGGCAAAACAATTTTTCTTATATTTTCACTTAATATGTTTTTTTCCCGAAACTAAATTTTGAACTTCTTAAAATGCTAGGATTGAAAATCTGAATGACTTAAATTTCAGCCTATTAAATTTAGGGGCACCGGAATTGTTTTTTTTTAAAATTTCATAATGCATTTTATAAAACCTAAGCAAACGAGTTTTTGTTTTTAAAAGACCGTAATTTTTGTAAAAATTTTTTTCAATAGCACGCCACATCAGGGAACCCCAAATTAAAGTCATTGTATGGGAATGGTTCCATTTTGTATTTCCACAAAAGCTTTAATTTTTGTATTTCTACAAAACTTTTATAAATGTTATTTATGATAAGCCATTCCAATCAAATCATATTTAAATAAAATCAAATACATTTGTTGCTTGGTTAAATACCATGTTGTTAATTTAAAAATAATTTCATACTTTTGTTGATTGCTATTTAGAGTTCGTACTGTGCGAAATCACACTCGAACTCTCAAAGGGCCTGACCTTAAACTGCAAGTGGGACATTAGCGAGAGCAAATGCCAGTGAAATATGAGAGGTTTATTCTGGTGGGGAAGGCGGTGGCAACTACTGGGGCAGCGAGGTGCTAAAGCAATTACAAGCAGGGTGCGGAGATGAAGGCTCTTTAGCAATGGGAATGGCAGTTAGGACGGATGGATGAATGCACAACGATATTTCTCTTTAAAGCAATCAAATAAATTTGATACAGAGCATCGTTTGTTTTTGGGGTTTAGAACGAGAAATATTTAATCTAAACTTAAATTGAGTTGAATTATTTTGTACATTTAATATTAGAAGGGTGATTATAACTTTTTTATAACAATAATTTAAATAGTATGTTAAAAACTTTTTAATTTTCTGAATAGAAAAATGTAGACCTCTAAATTATTTTGTTTCTATAATAAGAAAAATGCTTGTTTTAGATAAAATCTAAAATGTGTATAGACTTAAGAGCAGCATAAAGCTGAAAAGTTAAATTAAGTAATAAATTTAGTTTTCACCCTAAGAAAACTGAATTTATTGAACATTTTATCAGCTCGTTATAAACGTTTTAAATAAGCCGTAAATAATTTACAAACATTGTTAGTTAGTATTTGAAAATGTTTTTGTTTTAATTTTCAATACCGAAGAATTTAAAAATGCTGTTGTTTTTGCTCCCATTATTTTCCACATTTTCTTTTATAAATTCTCTTCTTCCACTTGATATATTTTATTTTTGTTTATGTTTAGTGTTCACTATGTGAATATTGAGCCTGGTCGTCTGCTCTCAGTATCCATCCTCCTATTTGGCCAGCCACTTGAGACCGAAGCTGGCCAAAAGCTTGTTAGCCTGACAACTCAATTTCATTTTCAATTTCTTAAGACCACGCTGTGATGGTCGGGCCAGCTCGGTTCGAAGAAGTTACCAGGCCAAATGTGGCCATAATTTGTCAAACAGCAAAAAAAATAGGAGACGCCAGGAGAGAAACACAAGGATGAAATAAATATAAACGGTGATGAAGAAGGAGAAGCGCTGGCTGCCGCTTCGTGTGGGGCATCTCGTTGATGGGCACTAAATAAATTGTACAGAGCACCAGATCCAGTTGCAGGAGTCAGTGGTAGTGGTGCCAAATCAGCTCTTTTTACGGGAGCGACAAACATAGAATCGTAATCAGTGGAGCAAAACACCGATATCATTTCATTAGAATCGGGTATTTGCAACTTATTGAATGACCCTATAAATATAAGACTATAAATCGTCTGCCTTTATGTTTCTTTTCTCTACTTTTTAAATTTTTTTTATTGGAACTTAGAACCATTCAGATTTGGATAAAAGCTGCCATAAAAGCATAGGAACAAATTTTCTTCTTATTTTTGAAGAATTAAAGTTTATTAAGGTATTATGCAAATAGTCAAAGTATCATTGTTTGGCCAGAAATTTATTGTTATGGTTCATAAAATAAAATGAACATCTGAAATCTAATTTTGTGCAATTAATGTATTTATAATCGTGCCTAATAAAGAATTATAACAAATTAATTTGAATAGCAATTCAATTGAAATATTAACTCGAATATATGCAAAAATAAAATTTAGTCGTGGTTCACAGCAAAGTATGTCTAATAGAGTATTAAAACAAATTAATTTTAATGGAAATTCAATTAAAATATTAATTCAAATATGTTTAAGAATAGAATCTGTGTACGATATTAAATAACATTTAACAAAACACAGTTTATTCGGTCCGCCTAGAACAGCATTTTGCAGTACCCAAAAATAGCTCACATTGTTAGGACCCTAACTCCGCCTTTTTTGCTCCTAACCAGCGTGGCCACGTGGTCGGTCAGTGATGGCGGTCCATGTTGGCGCCAGGGATTCCATGCCGAGCACATACGCTTTTCGACTTTGAACATCCGATTGCCGAGGCATTACCCCGGCCACTTCTCCTCCTCCCCCGCCGCCGATCCCCGCCTGCGTTGTGTGTCCTCGAGCGCAAAAAATGCCAATGCGAGCGACATTCCCCAGCCATCAGCAGCCCCCCATTTTCCCCACTTTCCCACCTTCCCACTCTGGATGTCCCGCCAACCCGGCATTGTTGTTCCAACTGTGGCGCTGTAATTTGTAGCGCGCAATGAAGCATTTCCCCTTGATTTTGCGGCATCTTTACTCGCCTCGTTAGTGGCCAACAAACGACAGCAGCCATGACAACACCAGGAGTCGGGAAAGTCGGGAAAATCGGGAGCTGTGAGCTGTGAGCTGCGAGCCAGGACCTGCGACCCGGCAGAGTGCCCAAGGACCAAGAGGGAAAGCTCCGGCTGTGTGGCGTATATGCCATGTCCTGATTTAATTGACAGGAACATAAATATTAGCGCATATCTTGACTCAGCTCGCCTTGGCTTTGGTCGCGTATGTGACTGTTGCCAGGATTTCCAGCCACTAAGGATGACTTGGGGCATGTTGGGAGCTCCGGTCCTGGTGTGCTGGTGTCCTGGCTCTGGTCCTAGTCTTGGTCTCGGTCTCGGTCTCGGTGTGGTATGTCACCCGGATGAGCTGCTCGTTAAGCTGCCGGGCCAAGGAGCCATGGAGCAAAACCAGGGATAACGACAATAGGACACGTTTATTGCACTCATCGTAACGCGCATTTTACACCCAGAGCTGTTATTTATTTGACTAGTGGTGTGTCTGAGACAGCCGCTGCAAATCTCCCAAAAAATAGTTTTCAAATTAACTTGTACAGTAGATTGAAAGCCCTTAGGTAGCCAATGTTTTGCCAAGTGCTTTACTAATTATTTAATGTTATTGAATACAAATTGTTTGTATTTCTTTCTATAATGAATATTTATTTTTGCAGAGTACTCACTAGTCAAAGTATAAAATTTAAATAATTATTATTTAAAGTTCGGATTTTACATTTTTTCGGATTCTCTCTTTATTAATTTAGTAATTAGTTTATTTTAAAACATCAATTGTTCTTTCCATTTATCCAATTGAAGCTGGTATATATAATGTTATTTTATTTCCTCCAATTATTGTAATAAATAAGTCTTTAAGCCTTTAATTCAGTTTCATTACTAAACGGTTCTTAAACCTTATACTTTGCATCTGACATAAATGGTTTTTATGAATAGAATTCGTTTTTTTAATCGACACGTTTATGGCGCTATATAAAAACCGTCCATTCAGATACTATATAAGAGTTTTAATACTTTATTGGAATGCAAAAAATGTCGTTTTTATTGAAAAAATACTCTTTATACGCTTACGTAACTTTCCCATAAAAGAAAGCCATTTTCCATCAATGAATGTTACGTACAGCATAAAGTCTTTTTAAGACCATCAAAATGTCTTTGAGTCATCAATTGGGAACGTCAATTAGCCGCAAATCGACGTCGTGGCAGAGCTTCACTGGTGAGGGGTGGGGGGGGTTTTGGCCTGGTCCATAAGAATGGCTAGATGGTGGGTTCCGCTCCGTGGCTGCTCACTTTGTGCTTTGTGTTTGCTCCTCCTCCGCCAATGGTTGTGCGTAATTTATGCGAGTTTATTTATTGATGCCCGGCACTGCATTGTTTCCCCAAAAAGCCGGCTAAGTGCAGCCGACGGCGACGGACGGAGAGTCCGTTGGCTTGTCGGTCGGTCGGTCGGTCGGTCGGTCGGTGGGTTGGTCGACCATGGCCTTTTTCCCCAAATAGAAAAGCCATAAATCTGCAATGTCGGAGCATTTAAAATGAATAAAAAGTCAATGTGCCGAGCTATTAACTGCCGATCCATGCCGTGAGCTGAGGGGTTGGGGTAGATGGTGGGGTATGGCCTGGTCAACCGGTTGCCATTTTCGACAATACATTTGTATTTGCATGCGGCAATGTGTCCGGACGTACTCAACTGGAGCAGCCCAGATGGGCCTGGGGTCGGAATCATCGGACAGGAGCGGTTAGTTTGGCCGGTCGGCTCTTTCGGAGGATCCCTTGCACAGGACTCGCACACACCTTCCGGTACACAGAGCAGCAAAACAGTGAACAGTGAACACTGAACCCAGGATTCAGAATTCAGGATTCAGGATGGTGCATCGGGCAGAAGGAGGAGAAGAGAGCGTGGAGGGCACACTGTACAGTGCCTAAAATTATTTATTTTGAAAAGAAAAGTGTAATTGATTTATGGAAATGACTGCACAACCTATAAAGTCTAGTTAAAGGGTTCTCACAAATATGGGCTATAAAATAAAAGTTGCGAAAAAAATGATAATATAGTGTTATGTATATTTTTATAAGCAATCCGTTTTTAATACAAATTGTTCAGGACAGCCAAAAAAATATATTGTAATATTACAAAATATATAGAGATTTAATAGGAAAATGTAAAAGCCATTTTAGGTTTTTATCAACTTATTAACAAGAAGTCATGAATATTATAGTGTGCCTAAGGTAGTTATTTTCTGAATGTTTTCTACTCAGCTTATAAATAAATATAATAATTATTTATTTTTATATATTATAGGAAAAAACATATTGGATTTAATAAATATAGGTCATGTCCATTCCGAAATCTTTTTCATTAAAGTCTTGTGCAAGAACAGACAGTTTGAGCTTTAAATTCCATTTGAAGATTCCATTTGGGGACTTTCTTGGTCATTTGGGTCCACTGTCCGTGACCTGGGTGTGTTTGTTTGACTGTGTGGTGCGACTGTTGTTGGTGCATTAAAATGCTGAAATAAAATGCCAAACAATGCAAAAGCGTTGCCCGCATACCGTTGCAAGCACCCCCCTCCCCCTCCCCATCACTGTTCAGCCAGCAAAGAAAACACAAACAAAAAAAAAACATTTTGGGTGCGTTTTTGTTTCCATACTGTGGCCAGGCTAACGTGCCCCAGACAGGAATGGGTTTTTTTGGTTGTGGGTGTGGGGCATGAGGCTGCAGGACTGGCACAAAAATAGCTTGCAACATTTTCAAGCATATTAAATATTTGTGATAACGTTTCCAATTTCTCTCTCCAACTCGTTTTTCGGCTAGAATGGGCGTCCAACTGCAGCACGGTCATTCGCATGGCTTGGGAGGAGGTGGTGGTGGTGGGCATGGCCACAGCCACGGCGGTGGCTCCAAGAAGCCCAAGAAGAAGACCCCCGCATCCATTCCATCCCACGCCCATGCCACGTCCACGCCCTGCTCCGCCTCGCCCAACCAGCGGATTGAGGGGGGCGTGGCCTTTGCGCCCGAGGATGCCGAATTGCCCGGCAGCGGACTGCCAACGTTCTCCTACCAAAATGCCAAGCTGGTGGATCCCGCTTTGGATTTGGAAATTGCCGCCGTTTTGGCCGAGACAGCACCCGGATCACATCATCACGGCGGAGCGGCTGGACGCGAGGCGGTCAACATGAATGTCCGGGCCGCCCTCATCCATGTGATTGGCGACGTCATCCAGAGCGTGGGCGTTTTTGTGGCCGCCGGCGTCATCTACTTTTGGCCGGAGTACTCCATCGTTGATCCCATTTGCACGTTTGTGTTCTCCATCATTGTCCTCTTCACCACGTTCACGATTATGAAGGATGCCCTGCTGGTAAGTGGAAGATTGTGGTCAGGGAAAGTTTACTGATGATTAGTTCTTCATCATTTATCAATCTAATTCAATGGGTATTTTATTAGAATTTTATTTCATAGTTTGGGAATTAATAGCTTAGGAATAATTAGCATGTGACAATATTTTGAACCATACAAAATATGTATATATGTACATATATGAATTATTTTATTTATGATTTTTTTTTTGGCAAAAGTTTAATTGTTTATTTTTATAAAATTTAACCTTTTAATTTATGATTTTGAACAAAACTTAAAAAGTTAAATTTAAAAGAACAAACTTACAATAAATAAACTATTAATATACTAGTAATAATTCATACCCCAAAAAGTTGGCCGGCTTAACTCCATTACTCTAATTGCAAAATGGAAATCGATCTCGCAAAAGATTTTTTAAGATTTTAAGGCATTCATTATTTAACACATTTAAGTTTAACTATAGGCTCAGCATTTATTTATAATTTACTTATTTATTACCATTAAAAGCCACTCTGCAATTAAATAAATGGATTCAAATGTGAATATAAGTATTTATTTGGCTAAAGCACACCCCTTATAGTAAACAGTCAACTTTATAAAAGAAAATAATATCCTTTTAATATCCGTCTCACCTATTTAGACAAAATCGTATAATTTGTTGCACTTATTTCATTTGAATTCACTATTTCACAAAGATTTATCAAATCACTTGTAAACCCGTGTACCTGTTTGTTGTTTATCCCCGCAGGTGCTTATGGAGGGGACGCCCAACTACATGCACTATGCCGAGGTGCTGCAGATATTCCAAGGCATCGAGGGCGTTGAGCGGGTGCACAATTTGCGCATCTGGGCGCTGAGCATTAATAAAGTGGCGCTATCTGCGCATTTGGCCATTGGTAAGTAGCTGCCCCCGGCGTTCAGGCCGGCCTCTTCCGACCAAAACAGAACGGGCCAGGCCAAAACAGACCAGACCGAACCGAATCAGACCAGAAAGGTCGTTGGGTGGCGGCCTTTGGCCCTGATGCATGTGTTTGTCGGAGTGGGAAGGGGGTGAGGGACTTTTGGGTGGCTGGTGGGGTCGCACTTTTGGTCATGGATGGTAATTATCCCAATGGATTTGTTGTTGTTCCAAGCTGGCCCCCTCTTGACCCCCTCCCCCATGTCCATGAGCAGACAGTGAGCAATTAGCTTAATTATTTTTGAAATGGCTTTTTAAGCGTGGACAATTTTGATAGAGCCAGTGAGCGCGAGAGAAATGGACTTGCCCCCCATTAGTGTAATCCTTCTGATACCGCCTAATCGTTTCCCATTCTCCTCCGCACAGCAACCAATGCCAATCCGAAACGAATCCTGGATGCAGCCACCTCGGCGGTTCACTTGCGCTACAACTTCTTCGAAACGACCATCCAGATCGAGGACTATGTGGCCACAATGGAGAATTGCCAGCAGTGCAATGTGCCGGAGAAGTAGGACTCTACTGTGCAACACTCTACCCCCAAATATGATAATATAATACGATGTATATTCAATATTTATTTTGCTGTACGTCAGATAAGAGTGACACCCTGTCCATGCATGTAATGGGTCAACAAAATCCTGATGCCGACTATACCCGGTAAACAAATCAACTACTTAATATAATAATAAAATTGGCGTTGATTTTTCTCCATTGTTGCCGTTTATTGCACACCTGTGCGTATCATAATATATTCTGCATTACATGTACCCATCATAAAGTGTCAAACACCTGGAGTTGTTTAACATATTCTGCCTTACATACACCCCTCGTAACGTTCACTTCATCATAAGCTGGTGACAGTGTGGTGCAAGTGTGGTGATAAATATCGCTCATACCATAATCTGAATAATGCGAAATACACCACATTTTTCAAACTCTGCTTAAAAAGTGAACGGCTGGATTTTTATTGGGTTTTGAAAGAGGTTTAAATCCACTTAAAAAGCTATGAAAGAAATCGGTTTGGTATTCGGACACCAATCAACTCTATCGAAATTCATTGGTTACAATTTTTAATCGAATTCCCCAAACACAATCCCTTTGAAGCACTTTTTTCCTAGCAATTTGTTCATGGTACCCAGCGGTGCATTGGGGAAAAGAGGTTTATTTTCCATCAAATTCGATGCATGAGCGATATGCAAACACGCATAAAAGTTATTAAGCTGCCGATGGCTGCCCACCGGCGATGTTGCACCTAAAAATGGCCACCACGACCGAGACTAATGCCAATTTATGGGGGCACTAACATGGTCATGGGCCGGGGAACGGTGGATTTGGAGGCCATCACACCTGGCGGCTTACCCACCTGCCCACTTGCCATTATGCATAATTTGGATGTGTGTGGCCATTGCGTAAGCGACATTGCGTGTGGTACGAAGCGGGGCTTTCAAATTATGTCTAAATTGTTGACCGGACCGGCAAACATGACAGTTGCGTGGGAGTGGGAAGTGGCCAGTGTCTCTAATCGCCGCCAATTTGTTGACAGATTTGCATGCGCTGCCGGCGAACAAAGATGCCGCCGTCACCTTGAACAAATGCCGCAAATATCCGCAAAAGTGAAGACCAAAGACAGGAGCAGTAATCCCCCCAAAGTGGCCACGACCCACAACCCACTATAATTTTACACTCTTTGCGCATGTGCAGCTTTTAATGTACTAAAAAGGACTAAAAAGAGCAACCTGCTCCTTGGCGAAGGAGAGATTTTTGTTTTCGTCCATGTGCTCACGTTGCGGCTTTTGCTTTGGCGGCCACTTGACCTGCACTTGGAATTGAATGCACTTCGTCCTCCGCCGCCAGAAAGGATGCAGGACCTTAAGAGATTAACATGCAGCGCCCACATCCATAATAAATAAAGAGCAGAACTGCAGACCAAGCCGGCCGTTTGAAAACCTGAATGATTAAATGTGAAGTCAGCAGGATAAATACAGGAAATCATCTAGAAAGATTCGGACAAAGCTGAATGCGAGAATGTGATGTACGTCATAAGCTGATTGCAAAAAGTTATTGCCAAGTGCAAATGGAATATATGAAATGTGTTTAATATTAAAGAAACATTGATTTGAATAGTTAATATTAGTTCTAAAAGACAGTATTCTTTTTAAGTTTAAAAACAACCTTGTGTATATGACTTTTACTTGAGCCAAACTGCTCCTTTTATTTACGTATAAACAGCTTGAAAGAGTTATTAAACAAATATTTGAATAAAGTTCATTATAAACATATGATATTTATAAAACCGCTAACTAACAGATTTGAATCGACTTTTAAAAGCATTATTCTCTATTATTCTTTAAAAGCAACTGTGAGTACACTCACTTTTTTGTGGCTATAACCAGTGATGATTTATTTACGTAGGTTGTTCAAATGTATTAAAAATGAATTAAAGTTGTTTTGCAATGTATCGAAGGTAAATTAAGATTAACCAAGTTACTGTCTGCACACGTAATTGGATAAGCTTCTGATTAAATTATAACATTTCTGTGAAAACTTAAAGCTATTGATAATTGTTTGTCCCCCGCAAAGCCACCCATCATCCTGTCACGATTTCACTCCAAAAATTTCGCAAAGATGCACAACAAATTTCAGCAAGAAATTCCGCGTGCAATTGGTGGGATAGAGAAGCGGGCTAAGACGATGACGTCCAACGTCGTTGCTCATTAAAAACTTTTAGCCAGTTCGAACTTTTCGAGCCGGGAGATAAACAACAAGCAAGACAAGGCGAAGAGTGTAAATTATAAATGCACAAAGTAAACGAAAAGGGCGAGAAATTTTTTCTCGGAAACATGAAACTGGAGCAGGATGGGGAAAACTTATTGGGCCAATAAGACTGGCAGATTTATTTGGAAAATGTACATTTATTTTAAATGCTTCTTGCATTCGGCACATGCTCTTCAGCACATAAAAAACTATTAAATGTTAAGTAAACGAGGAGGAGGAGAAGGAGGAGTGACTTTAAGCCGGCATAGATTGGCCGAATGCCCCGGCGGAAAACAAGTGCATTGCATATTTTAATCAAGGGAAAATTGTATTGAAAAATATTGTTAACAATAACAGGCAGCGGCGGCATCGGTGGCGGCTGCATTTTTAAATGACCCCGCCATGCAGGCCAACATGTGACAGCCGTGGCGGCGACAATTAAAACTTTTAACTAGCATTCAAATTTTTCAATATAAACCGAACGTTCTCCGCGGCCATCGTGACCATCGTGGCCGTAACTGACCACCGCCAGGGACACAACGGCAATACAACAGCGGCACGGCAAAACAAAGAGAGCCATAATAAAAAAATCAGCAGAAATAAAAGCCGAGGAAAGCAAAAGCCGCGACATTTCCATGCTGTGTAAAAGGGGGAAAGCCCTCGGAAAATGGGGGCTGAACATGGTGGCATGTGAGGCTCCACAGATCGTTGAAAGCGGCATTAAAAAAATGGTAAAGTCGGTTCACTTTGAAAAGGCAAAGTTTATATACCCTAAATTTACTTCGTTTATACCCAAATTACCCTATTTTTGTGATTATTAAAACATTTTTTATACAGTCTAATTTCGGAGGCAAATTTCTTCTTGGTATTTGAACATTTAATTGTGATTATATATTTAGTTGATTGATTAATATTTATAAAACAAAAGTATCATCTCACACGAGAAATCAGACTGCAAGAAGACCCCAAATATAGTATGATGCATTTTATAGAAGCATTTTTCAGACCATTGAATTTATGTTAATTTTTTTGAGGTTTTTCAATACTTAAAGTGCTTCTATAATTAACAAACCTATTATGGTCTTCAGATAAAAGCTATGATAGTTTTCGCATTGATATGAATATACTCATAAATATTGCTCCAGAATAAACATACATTCATTTATTCATATTTATGTGGACTAAAGTACGCCTTTTCCTATTCCATAAGAACTAAGGCAATAGTTCAGTTGTCCTAACATTTGCTATAAATCGTAAATATCTTTAGAGTGACTAAGTAATAAAATAATAATCTGACTGAAATGACTTTTATAAACCAGAAATGTCTTCACTACCACAAAAAAATATAATATCCACTGCGAGGGTATAGGAGTACGTGCCTGTTCATGGGTAAAGTGCAGAAAGTCCGCCGCAGGGCATCTGCCAGTGCAATATTTGTCTATGAAAGGATGCCGCGACAACTGGAGAAGGGGAGCGGGGGAGTTGGCGGCTGGCAGTGCCAATATAATTCCACATCGGATCCATTGCAGTTGCTTAATAAAGCTTTAAAAAATGCGATATCCCCCTTCCCATCGGAACATAGCTGAACAAGCGAAATATTTAATTGATGGATGGGGCAGAATGCTGTATTTTTTTAATGCCAAACAAAATATGCATAGTTTTCAGCGAAGAAGTGAAAAGATCAGTAATGGTACGGGATTTTTCTCAAATAAAAAACACGAGTCAGATAGCTGTATAATTTGTATTTTTATACATAAGAGAGCATTTAAATGAAAGTCCATTTTTTACTTTAATATGTCACAAATTTGATTTGCCTTGTCAATACTTAACGCGATTTATATTTCAGACAACCAAAATAAATAGATTAAGAAAATATAACAATGGCAGGAGTTTTGAAAGAATATATAACTTCTTAAAGATCAATTCCGTTTAAATCAAAACAACACAGACTAGTGCAATCAAGTAAAAGGGCAAGCAAGGACATTTTGTCAGCAAACAAGCAGGGATACAATGTGTCACAAAGTTTTCCGCTAACTTCCAACTTCCGGCCGAACTCATCTAGGACTTGGCCGCATTAAAGTCTAGGGTTTTTTTGGGACGCAAGAAATGCCATGAATTATGTAGAATTTAATCCAAAAGCTTTTGCGAAACGGATCGATGTTGGTCGGTGGGCCCGCGGTGGGGCCTTGAAGATGCATTTCTTTTTTTGTTGTTCTCGCCAGCAAACAACGAAAGCAAAACAGCCCGAGCAGAAGCAGAAGCTACAACAAATTGTTGCCAAGTTTTCTAGCGCAGAGCCTAGGACACAGAAAAGCATAGAAAATGGCACAATAAACACTGAACGCATATAAAGGACATTCGAGTTCATTTGTTCGGCGCGTTTGCGGTGGCCCATGGTTAAAGGATGTAAAAGGGCGGCTGGGCGGCCTGTGGGCGTGTCGCTCTGGGTCGACTGGTGCATTGTAGTCGGCATTGTTGTTTTTGTTAAAAACAATGCCACGACGACGGCACCGAAAAATGGCTGCAACAAACTTTTCGCAAACTATACAATTGCATAAAATCGTAAAAAATTTATAGGGAATACATGTGCTCTAGGGGAGAAATGGACAACAACCACAGTAGCAGCAAACAACAATTGTTGCCATTGCAATGGAGAAGTTGAAAAACGAGAAAATGCTAGAGAAAAAAGAAGGGCTTAACTACATAGGCGACTGTGTAATTGCGCTGAACACCCAAAAACAAAAACCAGCCAACAAAAGGCCTCAAAATAAATACATTTAAGTCAATAGCGAGGTAAGTTGTTAAAAGGATTAAAATAACTACTCGAACTGATATTGCATTTCATAGCCAATGTGTTTGTTTGGTATTCCAATTATATAAAATTAGCTAAACAATCGGATACAAACAACCTATAAACTTTTCTGCACCATCAGACGTGTGAGTAATAGTTTTT